TAGTCGTAGTCGTAGTAGTAGTCGTCGTCGTCGTCGTCGTCGTCGTCGTCGTCGTCGTCGTCGTCGTCGTCGTCGTCGTATTTGTAGGAGGAGGAGGCGGAGGAGGAGGAGGAGGAGGAGGAGGAGGAGGAGGAGGAGGAGGAGGTCGCGCGCGGGCCATTCCCTTCCCAGACGCGCGCCCGGGTCGAACCCCGTCTGGGGTGGTCTGCCAGCTGGTGTTGTGGGCGTTGCCCAGTCAGCAGTGCTTCGAGCGCGACGACGCTCCCTCTGCGGGGCTTCGCCAGCCCTCGGCTGCCTCGCGGCTGCAGCCCGCCGGCAAAGGACTTGGCATCGCTCGGACGTGTGCATTTTCTTTCGGCGAGGAGCATCGAGGAGCATCCTTGATCATTTTGCGAAAGAACCACGCACGAAGCCGAACAGAAGCACAGGGAATGGGCGTCCGAGCGATGCCCAGAGGAAGCCAGCAGCATGCACTGCCGAAGCGGGGGCGCCCGCATGCTCGCCGGCAGGAGACGATGGGCAAGCTCTTCGGCCTGGTGAAGCTGAGCGCGTGGCGGGAGGGCCTGCAGCTGAGCTCGCTGCAGGGGCAGGCCGGCGGGCCCGCTGCTCTCCCCTCCCCCGTTCGGCTCGGGCTCGCGCCGTCGCTGCCCCTCCCCCCCTCAGGAGGGGAAAAATGCACAGGCACAATTCATCGTCGACTGCCAGGAACATAGGGGAAAATATGGGAAGTGGGGGGAAGACACGTACCCAGAAGCTATGGGAACATATGGGTGATCCGGTTATTTGTATGTCCCAGGGCCATTTCACCCCCTACCGACGGCCTTACCCCCCCATCGGGGCCAGCCAAGAGAATGGCGATGACTAGGTGAGCGTGTTTCTATTCATTCTTTTGCCGATCGGCGCGGGCCCTCGCACCCCCCTTCCCCCACCTCCATGGAGTAGATCTTGGCTGTTTTTGGCTTCTTTTTCGAGCAGGTGGAGTCCCTCCCCCATCAGACACGTTGTTACAAACAGTCGCATGAAGCAGGGTCCGGAGCCAGACCCCCCCCCTTCCCCCCCCCTCCGCCCAATGTCGAAACGCCGAATAAGAAAACAACGTTCACTAGGAGGGCTACATCATGGCCGGGGCCAGATGTCCCAGCCGCCTCATCTTCCTTCAACGCGTCACTCTGTCACCCCTCGTCCGCGCACACCTCGCCCCTCGTGGGCCCTCCCCTCCTCTAAGCCTCTCAGATGGGGTCCGAGTAGATGGGGTCGGAGGATCGCGCTGCATCGCTGATGCATCGGCGATGCAGCTCGATGTGGAGCCTGGCTTTCTCCACGCCGACGTCGCTGACGCATCGCCGACGTCGCCGAGGCATTGGTGATACACTTGCGATGTGGCGCGACCCTCCAACCCATGTACTCCGACCCCATCTCGGAGGCCTTCATCGCTCCTCTCCCCTTTCCGTCTTATCGGTATGATCGAGATAGGTACGGAAAGAGTGGGGACGAAGGCGGACCGAAGTTCCTGTCCACTGTTTACAGGACTCGTTGTCTGTGTCGCCGCGGACGATGTCCATTTTAGACAGGAAATCTCCTCTGCCCAACAGCGGCCGCGCGGTTTTGGACAACATCCGCTGTTAGGCATCATGCGATGTTTGTCCACACCCATGTCGGTCGTGCCAGCCCTCAGCGTCTGCAGTGGGTGTGGTTACGTAGGGTTTCGGTTTGCGATCTGCGCCGTTGGGTTTGGGGGGGGGGGCACTACGTTGCGCCGAAGGCTTGATGAGCCCTCGTCGGGGCGCGGCGGAGAACTGTCGAGATCGTCGCCCAGCCCCTGGGGCGTGGGCTGCAAGCCGTACCCTTTGCAAAAATCACACCCTCTGGAGTCACTGGTTCCTTTCTGTGGGTGGCTCCTTGCCGCCCGCTCGCTCGCTGCCTGAGTTCCCATGCTTGGTGATGTGTTGCACTTTCTCTGCGGCGAGCGAGGGGGGGATGTGAGCAGGATAAGGCCTTCTGAGAAGGCGGGCGGCGGGGCCTCCCAGAAGCCCTCTCGCCCTCTGAGGGTTTTTCGGTGTCTTCGGGGAAGGCTTCGGAGTCTTCCCAGAAGGCCGGGGGACCTCCGAGCCTTCTGGGAAGGCCCGCCTCGTGAGGAGGCCCGCCCCTCCGCTCACCTCCCCCCCCGGGGCCCGCCGCCGATCCTCGAGGGGGCTGGTCCGGCGGATCCAGCCCCGAGCGGTGCCCCCGTCGCGCGAGCGGGCCCCTCCCTCCCCTCTGCACTCGGCTTCGGCGGATCGGAGCACAGTGCCAAGGGGGGGGGGGCAAAGTGGCTCTTGGAATACCCATAGGGATTCCCATTAGGATGCCCAGAGGGATTCTGTAGGGCTTCCCATAGGGATTCTCATAGGGGCGGATGCATCCACTCCGGATCGCCCACTCATCGCCAACGCTAGTATTTGGGGGCCCGGCAGCCCGCTCCGCCAAGGACCGTTCGGCGTCGCCATCGGGGGGACCTGCCGCCGACCCGTCGGCGACGTGTCGCCGATTTCATGACGACGTTCCCCGCCCCGGAGCGGATCGGGTCCCCCCTTGCGTCCCCCTTCAGTTGACCCTCGCGCGCCACTGGTGCAGAGTCTGCCTACCCAATGGCTGACCTCCTGGGCGCACTGGGGATTTCCATACATTTCCGTGCACGCTCACCTGCCGATGCCCCGTGCAGGCCTGGCTACTGCGTATGTGTGTGTCCTTCTGTGCCTGTTGTGCTCTGCCAGCTCCTGCATTTGCATGTCCACGTCGTTTTCCACTTGCGTGCGCGTTCGCGTTTTTTTTTCTGCTAATGTCTGCTTCCATCCAGGCCACCCATCTGCTCTGACTTGATCGCTTCGGCCCCTTCCGCGTGCATCCGCTTCTGCGGTTTTCTGCGTGTGATTGCCCCCACCGAGTCAGCCCAAAGGTTTTTCCCAACCATCCTGTGGTGTTGGGTCCTCGTTTTGAAGAGACAGCGCCCCGCGTCTCCTTCCTTCCTTCCTTCCTTCCTTCCTTCCTTCCTTCCTTCCTTCTCCCCCCTCCTCCCCACCCCCCCTTCCTCCTGCCCGCATGCGGTTCCCCCACCCAGGGCAGCGCTTCGTAGCCCCATAGGGAGCTCCACCGCGAATGCCCCAGTGGGGGTGCCCGCATGCGGTTCCCCCACCCAGGGCAGCGTTTCGTAGCCCCATAGGGAGCTCCACCGAAGGCCCCAGTGGGGGTGCCCGCATGCGGTTCCCCCACCCAGGGCAGCGCTTCGTAGCCCCATAGGGAGCTCCACCGAAGGCCCCAGTGGGGGTGCCCGCATGCGGTTCCCCTACCCAGAGGTAGCGCCACCGAAAACGATACTCATATTTGCGGTATTCACAGCTGCATATGGTTGGGTCCATCGCCAGGCTACTTGTCTGCGTCTTCGGGGACGGTTGAGAACACTTCTCAGAAGGTGGGGGGACTTCCGAGCCTTCTGAGAAGGCCCGCCCCTTCTCACTTCCCCCCAGGTTCGCCGCCGACTGTCTTTATCCCACTTGCTCGCACCAGCCTGCCCTCAGTCCAGCAAAACACGACTTCCGGCTGAGCGCAGGCATCCGACGTGCGCTTGCGATGCGCGACGTCGCGCCCCGCGCTTGCGCTTCACCGGTGGCCCGATTTTCTCCAGGCCGACATCGCCGATGCATTGGCGACGTCGTCGGTGCGTCGCCGATGCATCGCGGATGCATCAGCGATGCATTTTCGATGCGGCGTGATCTTCTGACCCCATCTACTCGGACCCCATCTGGGAGGCCTCTGGTAATGAGGGGCTCCTTCCACCTGGGGGTCCCATGATCCTGCCTTGGAGCGGCTTGAAGGCACCCCCACGTATGGCCTCAGCATTCTCCGTTCTCTTCTTGAGGGGCTGTTGTTCCGAGGTCGGAGATCCAAGGCCCCATGATCGTTGTGGCGACGCTGATACGCTTAAGGTTTCGCCGGGCTATGACGCCGCGCCACTGTTCACAACTCAGACGGTTACCTCGTACATCGCGAGGTTGGGGGTGTCGCTCCGGCGAGGCGTTGCGTGATATTGAGGCCTCGCGCGGCCCGGTTATCCTGGGTGCAGACTGGGGTTCAGAGGCGGCGATGAAGCAGATCTTGCCCTTCACGGACTTGCTGTCTTGCTCAACGCGCACGTGCTTCTCTAGCTCAAATCCGCGATGCATGAGAGGGGCGACGAGAACGTTCCCAGCTTCTGAGCCAGGTCACAACGGAGGGCCACTTGGCTTATACGCCCAAGTGGACGGCAACGTGGCGGCCCGAATCAGCGCCCCACATGTCACTGAGTAGTCAGTCCGCTTGGGCTCAGCGTGGGGCATTCGCTCTGAATCTATAGATGGTAGTGTCGCCCCCTGTCACCGAGAGTGTCTTCCTTTTTCGACCTTACTTCCTTTCCCCTCTTGTGTTTAGAGCCCAGGTAAGAGGGCATAGAGAACGTAACGTACGCAACAACATGTCACAGGTCAGGAGGTATCCAGCGCGTATCCCATTGTACCACCACTGCGTTGTTCCGTGCGGATGCAGGGCTAACGTCGGCAGTGCTTGTTTGAAGCGCTCGGGACAGCGGTACCGGCGAAGGGACACGACACGATACGTTTGACCTCGTGCGCGAGTGATCTCGTGGACACCGCCGCCCCCCTCCTCCCACCCTCCCTCCCTCCCCTCACTCGCGCTCTACCCCCCTCCCCTCCCCCTCCCCCCCTCTTGCCCGATTCGCCCCCTCGGCTTTCCTCCTGCTTCTCCCCAAAGATGCCCTGAACAAAAAACCAATCCCCCCGCCTTCCTCTTCCGTACCCACCGCCTCCCGCTGGCGAGACCGAGCCGCGATTGTCTCGGTGGACCTCCGCTGGCCTTCCGGGGGGGGGGGGGGGCTCGCCCAGTCCTTCCACATGCGCTTCTTGGGCAACCCGGGCACCGGGAAGACCGTGGTGGCGCGCATCGTGGGGGAGATGCTCGTGAAGATGGAGGCGATGGGGTTGGGGTCCAGCGGCGGGCGGAGGATGCGTGTGCGTGGCTTCGCCACGGGGGAAGCGGCTCCCGAGGGGAAAGGCTCCTGAGGTTCTTCGCCGTTCTCGGGCCCTCGGGGCCCTCCAAGCGCCCCAGGACTGTCAGACAATCACTTGGGATGAAAGCCTCGTCTGGGGGGAAGGCCCCCAGGGTCCAGGACCCGTTTCCCTCAGGACCCGTTTCCCCGATGCAAAGAGTTTTTTCCAAGCCTGGTCGACTTGGAGTGGCCTGAGCGTTTGCCTCTTGTGCCTCTTCGGGCTGCTGTGAGCTCGCACGTCTGAAGACGTATGCTGCGTCCGGGCGCTGGGGGGGTCAGCTGCGCGGTGTTTCCACTGCCTCTTTGCTTGGCATCGCTCGGACGTGTGAATTTTTCCTCCGGCGAGGACCATCGAGGAGCATCCTTGACCATTTGGCGAACAAAAACACGCACGACGCCGAAAAAAACACAGGGGATGGACATCCGAGCGATGGCCAGTTTGGGGCCCCCTGGCTGCCTACGTGCAGCGAGCCTCCCGCGGAGCATGCCGTGGGCTCCTTTCGGACCTCCGAGGGTGCGGCTTTAAGAGCTCTTCTGGGGGATTGCAAAAAAACCAAGGATTGCAAAAAAACCTTCGTTCGAAGGATTGCAAAAAAAAACATCGTTTTTTTTGCCATCCTTCGAAGGTTTTTTTGCAATCCTTCGTTTTTTTTGCAATCCTTCGTTCAAGTGGGGCCGTTCTGCGCTGTCTTGGGGCGGAGAGGGGCACGTTCTTCGGGCCGTCTTGGGCCTCACGGGCCGTCGTTTTGGGGGTCGTGGACTTGGGGGCCGTCCTGCGCTGCCTTGGGGCGGAGAGGGGCACGTTCTCAGGGCCGTCTTGGGCCTCACGGGCCGTCCGGGGGGGGGTGGCCCAGCCTTGGCTGGACTCGGGGCCGTCTTGGCAGCCGAGTAGGGGCCGTCTCGGGGGAGTTCGGGGCCACGGGGGGGTGCACGGGGGCCCTCCCGGGGGGCCGCGTGGGCTGTCGGGTGAGGCAGCCTGCCAACTGCGTCTCGAGGCCTGGCGGGAGGGCAGCGGTACATCGTCGATATCTGCTGGCCTCCGCCACATTCCGCCACCGTTTCGGGGTTGTGGGCCAGTGTCCTGCTGAAGGCCTCTAGGGGCCTCTTGGGGTCTCTCGGGGGTGGAGTTCTCTCGGGGACTTCTTGAGGACCTCACAGGGGCTTCTTGACAGCTTGCTGGTTGGGCCCTATCCTTGGAGGGAGGGTTCGCGAAGGTCAGACCCTTCAGCGCAACTATTCTCATGGACAATCCAGTTGCACTGCCGCACAGATCCTCTACCGCGCTTGGGGAAGCTGCTCAGCATGGCCGCAACGGATGCACGGGCGTGCTGTTGCATGATTCTTGCACAGCCCTTCGTGGGGCCGGCTGGCTTGCTGTCTCGTTGGGCGGAGGGGTCTTTGGTGATTCACAGGCTGTCCTGGGGTTGTCCCAGGTTTTGTTGGGGCCTCTCTTGGGTCTTTTGGGGCTTCCTCGGGATCTTCATGCACCGCTGCCAGCACATGATTGTGTGCGCGTGGCGATGGGGCAGCTGTTGGGAGGTGGGAGTTTCTCCGAGCAGGGTTGTGTCGGGGAAACGTTAAGACTCGAGTAAGCCGGAGCTCGGGTTGGCCGACTTTGTTTTGACGAGCGCGTCCTGGATTTTGGCGGACCCGTTTTCGTGGGATGTCTGCAGCGGGAGCCCGCGTCAAATTTCAGTTTGGGTCTCGTCATTTTTATGATGGCCCCCGTCAGGCCAACCCGAGTCCCCCGTACCCGAGTCTTACGTCTCCCCGATTGTGGAGCTTGCCTCTGCCTGCGTTGTCGGAGCATCTAGGGGGCATTGCTGGGAGTCTCGTGGCCTCGCACGTCTCCCGGCGTTCGTTCTTGGAACAATCCTGCCCTCAATCGCAGACGGAGTGCAGCATGTGATCCACCCATCCTTGACGCAATGTATGTGCACTCGCTCCGTTCATGTGGCGCCCGAGGGGATTGCAGGCAGCATCACTCAGGACCTTCTGTCGGACTCGGGGAGGCCTCGAAATGGCTTCTCGATGCGTTTTCGTGGCGGCTTTGGGGTTCGGGGGGCCTCTTGAGGCTATGTGTGAAGGGGTGAGGGAGGCCATCGATTCATTGACAGTACTACGTTCATTGTAATCTAGCCCGAACACAAGTGTAAACAGCGTGTTCGTTCCGCTGAACTGCGCTTCACCATGTGTGTTTCAGGTCTGGGCCATCCAACGGCTTGTTGGGGTTGTCGCCGATGCTGAAAGTAGAGTTGGTGAATCCTGCTGGTCAAGACGATGGAGAACAAAACGGATGCACGGCAGTGGTATCGGTGAAACGGGGAGCCCCCGACAGAGAATGCGGCTCGAGGTCATCATAGTTTCAGAAATCAACATGACCTTAACCACGGGTTGCCATGTCGGCTCAAGAAGAGTTCTGTTGGTAGTCTGACGAGACCCTGCCTTGGATGGTCATGGCGCTGCGTTTTTCATTGTACGCGTTGGTCTATTTCGTCGGGTTTGCTGTTGCAGACGAAAGTGTGATTCTCAAGCCACCAGCCGGAAAGAGTGGCGCTCCAGCGGTATGGATTTTGTTGCCAGGAGCCGAAATTGGCATGGAGACTTACATGCCGCTTGCCGAAGCAGTACAACAAGAGATATCTATGCCGCTCTGGGTGGCCGTGCTTGGCACGTATTTTACACCCAGTCCGATTCCCCCAGAGATTGGCCCCCGTATCGATGCAGTCTTGAACACCATGGGGGCACAAGGTCTCGATCTTGACGGGGTGAAGCTTTTCTACGGCGGCCACTCCCTGGGCAGCGTGTTCATCCAGGACCACCTGTACAAGTATCACGGCGGCACGGGACCTCTGAGTGGAAAGGTCGAGGTACTCGGACAGGTGCTCATGCCGAAGAAGAAAAAACAGCGTAAGCATACACTTTCGACGGTCCGCGCGGATTTCTTGAATCTGCGCTGGCCCCCCCGGGCGGCGCCTCCGGCGCCGCCCTGGTGCGCTCCAGGCGCCAGGGTGAAGGATCTGACTTAGATGCAGAAATCCGCGCGGACCATCCAAAGTTATGGTTATGCCGTTTTCTCTTCCTCTATCATGGGCGGCTTTATCCAGCGAAAGTACCTGTACCCAAACTGGACGTACCCAGTTTCCACATTGACCGTTGGCGGAGAACTCGACGGCCTCGCCAGGCCCACGAGGATTGCAGAGGCCTTCTACCACGCCCGGGACAGGCAGGCTGACTTTCCGGTTGCCATCGTCAAGGGCATGACGCACATGCAGTTTTCGTCCGGAGAGCCTCCCTTGCTGGTGAAGCTCCGCGACCTTCAGCCAGAGATCTCGTACGAGGAGGCCTACGCTGCTGTGGCCGAGCTGGTCGCACCCTACTTTGAGAAAAGGGCTGGTATACTCGATGATGACAAACTCTCTTCTCGCTATGATGACACAGCTGAATTCGTTAAGCCTATCATTGAGGCCTACGAGATCGAAGGTAGCCGCTGGCTTAATGCGCCAGACCAGATAGGTGGCCCAGGCGAGAAGAATTGCGTCAAGGGGGGTTGCCCGAGCAAGTCGATTTGGGCGCCAGAAGCTCAGAAGGTAATCTCAGAGGTTGAAGGCTGGACCTTGACAGTCGACAACGAATATGTTGATTGCAGCTCCACGCCCCTCAGAGGCGAGGAGTTCCATCTGCCAGTCATCAGTAACAATACGGAGCAGAAGACTTTGAGCATCACCACCTACTCACAGGCTTGGCGGCACGCGCCAGGGGGGTGGCACCCCGGGGGCGACCTTCTTCAGAAGGCGGGGCCTTCTGCAGAAGGCAGGAGCCTCGTTAGAAGGGCCCTGAGGCTTCTAAGAGGGCCTCATCGAAGCTGTGAGGCTTCTTAGTCAGCCCCCCATCAGCCCCTTGGCGCGCGCCGCTAGCAGGCGTATTGGGACGACGCCCAACCCTCCTGGTTTGCATGGAAGTCGATCTTCGACACGTATGACACTGGCTTCGTGGCTACCAGCGCCGAAGAAATCGGCACGAAGCTCGCGTCCCGCCAGTGCACACTCATTCGGGGCGTTGGCGAAGCGAACACGTCGTTCAGCGTCGATGATCCACAGTTCTGTGCCATTACCAACAAGAAAGCCTACGAGTGGGCACAGAAAGTGGCGGCATCCACAACCATGCACCGCTTCAACATATTTGGCCAAAAGTATGTTTTCGGCGATGACGTTCCAAAGGCTGGTGGTCCTCTATGTGGTGGCCTTCGGCACATCCCGCTTCCTTCAGTGTTCTGGCGGTAGCGCGTTCTTGTGCCTCTCTTGGGATCGTCATGGAGGCCTTTTGTACCTCTCTTGGGAGACTCGGGGGTCGCCTCTGGGCGATCATTGGAGCCTCTCGGGCCCTTCTGGTTGCTCCCGCTAGCGGAAAAAAACAGAACATGCAATAATTCCCATCAAGCCAGTGATTTTCTGAAGATTTTGGCGTCTTGGACCGGCCGCAAGGGCATCCAAGATGGCTCAAGGACAACAAGGGCCCCCCAATAGCTCCATGACGCGTCCCTTTGGGACCACCTAAACCTTGGGGCATGCTGGAAGTCTGGATTCCGAGCCACACTTCCGAGGCCCTTGCAATCAGGCTTGGAGAGCTCCGACCGAAGAGCGCATGGTAACGGCTGGGAGTTGACTGTCTGGGGACCTTTACAAGGTATCTAAAGGCTCTCGATATCGGGCGGAACCAGGACCAGGATAAGTCTTTGCAGACCGTTTTGGAACGCTCTCAGAGCGTTCTGGAGCACTGGAACGGCCGCGAGGCCCGACACATTTTCCAGAACTGCCGGATCTCAGAGATCCCCGAGCTATCTTGGTCCGATTTTGTCCCGGTCCTGGCTTCGTCTGGCGATGTTAAGGGCTTTCTGGGACTTGAGGACACTCCACTCAGTAC